CCCTGATATAGCCGTAATCTAGAATTTATGAACTGTGTAAAGTGGGGCTGTACAGTCACTACAGTTAGTCTTGCATAGTTAGACTCTCCACCCCTTTTTGACATTTTGACGTCAACAGGAGTGGAGAGTGTGGCTAAATGAGACTAAAAATTGACTGTTAATGGAGATATATTTTTTAATGACTTTTACATTTGTTTTATTACATGTAGACACTGGTGACTTGGACAAAATTAAAACTGAGCTAAAAGATTTTAATATTTCCGACTGGAGAGAATTTGGATCAAAAGCTGGCCTCAAATACGAAACTCTTAAAATAATACAAGAGAACAATGCAAAAGTACAGGATCGTTTTGAAGAGTGTTTGGCTTACTGGTTGAGAAGGAAGGATAATGTTGATGATAAAGGAAAGCCATCATGGAGAAGATTAGCTGAGATATTAGAGGAACTTGGAGACAAAGCCTTAGCAGACAGAATTAGAGACAGGAAAGGTAAATTAACAGAAAGGGTAAATTAAATCATTTAATTATTTTTCTATTAATTTTTAGGTGTGCCTAGTGATGTTCATAAAGAGGAGCAAGTTAAAAATGTTACTACTCCTGATCGCAGCACTCGACGTGAGTGGTACATTATATACAAAGTTTTTGTGTTCATTAATATTTGTTTAGTTCCTCGATTTTTAGAAGATGACTATCTTCAAATGACAACTGAATTTGCAAATATACTTAAACGTTTTGTTTTTGAGGTCTTTAAAGAAAGGGAGGAGAAATTAAAAGGTGTCCAAGTGTCATTGGTTAGTATTAGTCCATCAAATCGAAAAGAAATTGATGAAGTAGACAGTGAAACTGGACTAACGGCAGTCCTTCGAAATTATTGTTCTTTGTCAAAATTCCAAGTACTAACTACTTTAGCAAAGGATATGAAGATGACTGATATTACAGATGAGCTAAATCAGTTTGAAGAGAAACGGAAAAAGTTATACAAGGAGATTTTAGCAAAGGATTTTGCAAAGAGTGCCATTAAATATTGTGGTACAACAGGTAGTAGAGAGGTTAGACTATTGTTATATAGTGACAGTTATATTCTATAATTAATAGGTGACATTTAAAGTAAAATGGTCTTTTAAGAAAGCAACACTTGAAGATTTTGAGGATTTTCTGAATCATGCTTTTAGCAGTCTGGACATTTATATTCACTTGAGTGCTGTCCACAATAGTCTACTGACGTTTGTTTGTGTGATACCACATTGGCTAGTGGATGAGATGAAGGATTATATTATAAAGAATGGTGATCTTTTTGAGTCTAAAGGAGCAGTTGAAATTACTGTTGATGGAACTATTGTATTCAGTGTGGTTAGTGATGGTGTATTAGTATTTGATACATTAATTATGAGATTTGTAATAGAAACATTCATTGGAGCCTCATCAGTTGTCATTAGGTAATGTATACTGTATGTATGTATGGTGTAATGTTTATTGTAGAGAATGAAGAAAAGGAGACGGAATCATTACAGAGTGAGGAGGAAGCAGAAGTAAGTTGTTCATAATTGTACTTATTTTACAAATAATTGCCTTATACTTATAGGAATATATGGATCAGCATTATACACAAGAAGACAGTGGATCTGGTGAAGGATATGCTTGTCTGATGTTTCATGAGAAGAATTCTTTTATATATTTCACTGCTGTACCAGTTAAAATGTTGACTGCTCTTCTTGAGGTAGTGATAAATAATAATAATAATAATAATAATAATAATAATAGGGATAATAATGCTAATAG